ACCTTGCTCCCTCCAACAAACTTCCTCTTTCTGATGCTGTGGATGGTGGGGGAAGCTGGTAAGGAAGTCCCATGACTCAGTGGGACCTCGGATGGGGAAGGTGTAAACAAAAATTGGCAGAAGAGATTCTGCAGGAGCCAGAAGAGGCTGCAATTGATCCTGCAATTGATCTGGTGACTGGTTGGTCCTTAGTAGCCACACAAGGGCCAGGGGACCCTCTGTACCCTTCTAGTTGTAAGAAGTGACACTAGTGTGCGTGTCCAGAAGATGTATGCGCAAGGGAAGGGTGAGATGAGAACATCAGTGCAAAGAAATATTTCCATAGCATGATTTGCAGACTGACCATCTGGATGTTACAGCCCTGCAAAAACAGAGCATTGGCAGGGAGTGGTAAGGAGATGCAAAGTCTAAGAAGGATCCCCACAGGGCTGGAGATGTAGGGGTACTATTCTTGCACAAGATTCACTAGAGACAGCAAGGGATAACCTGCTCTTTATCTCCTGGAGAAGGCAACACAGACCACGCCATGAGGAGAGTGAGCTGCAAATCTGCACTCAAAACCTGCAAAGTATGGTCCCAGGTGTCCCCAGTCATGGTAATGCCAGCTCCATCCGGTAAACTGGACATAAAAGAAGAACTAGAGATTCTGAATGACATTCCAGCATGAGCTTTCATCAGATGTTGGGAGTGCAGTGTCAATGTAGCATCTTGACCTGCTTGGCCACTCTTAGATCTCAATGGCTGCTGCTGGAAACAAAGCGATGGAGTAGATAGATCTTTAGTACAGCCTTTCCTGAGTTCTTACAGCGCTATGTACAAACATGGGATAAATCCTTGCTCCTGATTGCTTAAATGCAGTTTCTAAGCTCCCAGGACAACATTTTCTAAAATGGCTTCTTATTTTGGAAACTTCCATTTTGAGTCACATTTCAAGTTCTACATGAATATACTTAACCACGGCTTTGACAAACAGGGCTGGTACATCTCAAACTGCACATCCTAATGTCCAGACATTTCAGAGAAAGGGTCATTTGTGTACAATAAATTTGGTGTTTTTTATTAAATTGGCAGCAGAAGGGAGTCTGTAGGGCAAGGCTCTGAGATGTATAGTAGGTCACATTTGCAGTGTCAGTCTCTTGGTATTCCTGGATGGCCACTGATTTAACTCTGAACCAACATCTGCCATGAAAGGGTAAGGAAGAGAACTTTGTCCTTAAACTCTTGATGACTCCAGTTAATGAGTAATCCACATACCTCTCATCTACAATCTGGAAACCGTCAGTTGCTTTTAATCGTTGATGTGGTGAGCATCAAGGTCCTAGTATGACAGGAAAGGAAATGCAATGACTGCAGCTCTGCTGGGCCCCTCAAAATATATGACTGTGCACTTGGTGCTGTGGGATCTTCTGTGACTGTTCGTTCAACTGACAGTGCCTACGATCTGACACGACACATAATACGTTATTTAAGAAACAGTTGTCTACAGGAACATAAAACAAAAGCCTCATTGCTTTTATCAGTTGATCTGATACAGGCAGTTTTTATTGCTGCACAGGAGGCTGATAAAGTAAATAAATAAATAGATAAGAAAAAACTTTTTCTGTGCTCCTAAAATCATAGGCATAAATCACACGGATGAACCTAATCCAAGCAGAAGCCTGAACACAGTGGAAAAGTGTAGTTTTAACTATCATTTCCTAATACAGAAAAATCTGTGCCATGCCAGAATTACTGTTTTGTCAACTCTGTCTTAACTTTTGGTGCTTTATTGTGGAGAGCTCATCACTACGAAGAAATAAGCTTTTTATTTGTTTATTTATTTATTTTAAATTTATTTATTTTTAAATCCAACATATTCTCCTCTTAGAAAGAATACTACATGCCTTTTGATGAATACCAGACCTCAAGAGCAAATATATGAAAGAAGAAGGAATCCAAGGTGTCTTTGACAACTGCACGAGGGAATAAGTAATCTGCTACCTGAATATCTAAGGGTGCTGGTAGTGACCTGCTTCAATGGAAAAGGACGTGATTCCATGTGCAGCGATCTCAAAACTCTTCCAATACTGGGAGAATACATAGTGTTGTTTTTATAACCTTCTCCCATGAATCCATCCTATATGCATGTGCTTCTAGCCTCATCTTCCGCAGGGAATGAAATTTCCGTGATCATGCCATCTAGCTCTACCAGACGGCATGCACTGAGCCTGCTTTCTATCAATGTGGCAGAGGGATAGGGGCTGAGGGAGAACTAAGTGCCTCTGAGATCTGTGAAAATCAGCAGTGGGATCGAAGGCAGAGGCCCCACACAGGTGGCCTTACTGGAAGAGAGCTGGGCAGAGCTTGGCTGCTCCAAATGCTGCATGCTAGTGTCAGTCACCACATATGCTGCTCTGGCCTCTCTTGCTCCATGAGGCAGAAGGCTTATGGTTGTTGCAGTCAACAATACGGACAAAGGAGGAGAGCAGGACACGTCCACCTCTGTTCCAAAGAACAGTGTGTTTCATGATAAACTTCAGTTACTCGCATTGCTGTGTGGCTCCTGTGGTTTCTAAAGGGCCCTGCAAAGAGGCAGATCCATCTCTCACACCAAGGCAGACTAACAGTCACAGCCTCCTCCTCACTCCCACCCCTAGCGCTGTCCTGCTGACCTCCCTTTGCATCCACTCAGGAGCAGCAGATGAAAACTCAGAGCAGCTTCCAGGATTCTGGAGATAAGAAATAGGCTTATTCTTTGAAACCATATGAAAAATCCACCAAGAGTTGGATGGAAAGTACAGCCTAGTGCAGAGTTTCCCTAGAGAAAATCCCAACCAGGGAAAGTTTAGAAGCAGATTTCCCTCCCCTAGCAAAGGGAGTTTCAGTTTCCTTTTTTTCATATCTTGCTTTCTTGCTTAACATGTTTTGCTGCGGAAGAGCAGCTGAGCTTGCAAATACTTTTGGAGGAAAAGGGCTGTTTTCCTTGAAGCAGTGCCTGTCCTAGAGGGAAAAACCACGTGCTTGAAGCGTGTCAGCTCCTGTGTGTAAACTAAGCGAGAAGGAATGCTTTTTAACATCCCCTTGGCAAGTGTGAACACTGTTCACATTTCCCAAACCAAGCTGAAGCCTGCCCCTTTATGCAGACTTATTTTCACACTTCTCTGAAGGGAAACCAATGACCTCAGACCTAAGTGTGCTTCAGCCTCCTCTTGCCTCTATTTGGTCAGCCCATTTGGGGAAAGATTTCTGTGGGCTGGCCCACAGCTGGGCTAGTCAGTTACTCTGTGTTTGTCACTGTAGGTTTCCTTGCAAGCCAAGGGAGGTTTTTGAGGGGTAAATGAGCAGCTCTGTGGGATCCATAGACACGTGGATGAAAGCTGAGCAACTGCCTCAGACGCACCCTCCTTGGAATGCCTGACTTGTGGGGACAAGAGAGCTATCATTTCAATGAAGAACAGATGGGAAATATATTAGTTGGAGCCCTCATTTGTCCAAGATTTCCTTCAGCAAAATGTGCTTGCTTCTATCTTCTCTGCAAGGACTCTATCATCTCACAAAGGAGGAAGCAGCAAGAGTTCATATTTTCTCTCCCCTAGAGAGAATCACTGGGATTTACTTTTTACTGGTACCTACCTTCTAGGTAATGGATTTGGGTATTTGAAACAAGAAAAGAGAAAAATAAAGCTCAGATCCTTTTAAATTTATTATGTCTGTCAATGAAGATCAAAGCAAAAAGCTTTAAAAATAGGTAGGCTCTTTCAACAACGAGGTTCCTGGTGAAATTGCTGCCTGACTTCCTTCACAACACAGACCGGAGTTTCCAAGGGCATTACCCACCCACTGAGCTTGCTGGGCTGAGATGGACTTTCATGTGCTGAGGTACTGCCAAACTGACTGATCCTCTCATAGATTTTTCAAGGTGGTTTGGCTGTATACTGCCCAGCCTGGTGTGTCCTCAAGAAACCTGTTTTTTTGAAAGGGGCTAACTGTACACCCTCTACCCATCAAAACTCAAAATGTTCCTAAATGACTTCTGTCCATCTTGAACTTGGTAGCCTAAAGGCAATGGCCACATCTGCTTTCCAAAAATAACACGTCAGCAACTTTCATAGTTTCATGATTTGTAAATGCTTACGTGATTGACCTCAGACTTCCTCAAAAATTCTCCAGGGGGAAACAGCTCTCACATATCACAAGGAAAGGAGTTTTTTTTGTTTTGGTTTGCTTTGATTTTGTTATTTTTTTTTTAGACATCTAAAGGGGATGTCCAAATGGTTCCTCTGCTGGGAGCTGCCTTCATTTGTTTGATGGGGAAATTTTCCAGCATATCATTTAGTACAATTATGTCATTCTAGTTGCACTTGCTTGTTTCGAATGACAAAAAGCGCTGAGAAGGGACGCTTCTTCTAGATCATGAGCATGTGGAGCCACACGTGCAGCATAGTATAGGATAGTTCAGATTGTGCAGCCATGCTGTACATTCCTCTTAGCCCTCAGCCAAGTCACAGAGTCTTCCTCATGTTACCACCTGAAGCTTTAAATGTGTTTTCAGAAATATCACTGAGTTTGGCCAAGCTTTTTCTTCACAGGCACTATGTTATCAGAAATAGCAAGGAAAAAGAGAAAGCTGAGAGGGGATTTCAAGAGTCTGACAAAACCCTTTACCTGACATTTTGTCAGACGAGGGAGATTATTTCAGCACCTGTTCTGGTGCCCTTCATGCTGGCCCACAGCGCCCCAATATTGTCTCTATAACAGGGTCCACCATCCGGCGTGCAGGAAGACCAAGACCAACCAACGGGCAGTTGGAAAAATAGGAGTGACCTGAACAGATTCACTGGGAGGAGCTCTGGCTCCTGCACGTAGGGATTTTCCCTGTGACGCAGTGAACTTCAGAATAAGTCTGGCTTGGGGATTCCCCTGTCTGCCTCCAGAAATATCACTGTAGAAGCAGTAGCTGTTTCACTCTGCTCTCACCGCCCTTCCTGCAAAGAGGCACACGCTGCTGCTGCTACTGCTGCTGCTGCCCTGTGATTTAAGTCGGCATGTCTTTGATAGCCTCTGCTCGGCTCTTCATCCTGTGCAACGGTGAGTGGGAAACCTTGCATTTTTCCTTCTGGTCTTCCACTTATTTTGTGGTGATATGTTTTGGGAAGCCCAGATGCCTCCTCAATTTAAATTTAAAACCAATGTGTGTCTGTGCTTTGCAGTCTGGTGCTCGATCCATGGGGCTTCTGTGGCTGTGCCAGATGTTGCTGTGAGATGTGCTGAAGAAGTGCTGCTGCCTTGTAACGCTCACTGGGACTCCACAGCCACCTACCAGACCGTGTCTTGGTATAAAGTAAGAAAAAGTTAAAGTTTCTTGAGCAGTCTGCCTTGCTTTCCTACCTGATCCTGGCTTGTCTTGTTCTTGTACGGGTTATTTTATGAGGAAGCATCCTCCTGCAGCGTGGCAGAGAGAAGGCAGCAATGAAAGTGTTTGGGCTGATCAGGGAATGTGGGCATTTTTCATGTCGTAGACAGATTTTCTGAGCATGATCTTTGTATTGCTCTTGGTCTCCTTTTCTGTTTAACTGTTGGTAGCCTCCAGGGATCAAAATTCAGAGGATGCCCTGTGTATAACTTGCCAAATACCACTCCAAGATTTCCAGCCTTTTTGGGATTCTCCTTTAAAACAAAAACTCATATTTAAACCTTGCAGCATAAATTATGTTGCTTCTTGCTTATTCTCGCTGGACAAGTAGGGGTGGACTTTTTCTCTGAAACAGAAAAGCTAAAAAAACACCTTTATTACTTAAATTAATTTCTGTACTTTAAAAAGCTTTTGACTAGAGGATGAGAATAAAAGGGGGACAGGTAGATGAAGAGCTAGAAAATTCTGAATTATCTCCTTGCAGTCCTAGAAAAAATCCCATGTTGGTTGCCCTGGTTCAGAATTCCCATCTCTAAAGCAGCACAATCCTCATCACCACCTACTGGCAGGATGGCTCCAGAGATCAATCTGCTAATGAAGAAAAAGTACCAGTCAGCCTTTAAAGCTGAAATTGCTCACAGCAAGAGAGGCAGAATTGTCCAGTGGCTGGAGAACTAGTCACCGACTTGCTCTACGGCACCATGTATATGTGTCTTGGCCTATAGCTTCAGTCTACAGCTTGAGGCAAATTATTAGAAAAATAGGAGGCTAAGCTCTTTTGAATGGCTTACTCCCAGCCATGCCCTCCGTAGGCTAGTTGCCCTCGTTATGTGATTGCCCGCTTAGTCAACTTACTAGAACAGTAGAAAATCAGCCTAGGAATGAAAATCACGTGGACTACAGAGATGAAATGGGAGCCTGCCCTTGAAGAAGCAAAAATAGGGAGCATCAAGGACAGGAGAGCAAGAGACCTCTCTTTGGTGGACCCAAACTGTTATTTTCTCTCTGCCAGAAGGTGAAAACAGAGCCCTTGGTTTCCTCAGTTCAGCTAGATATAGTTTTTAAAATTTTCCACCTGGTTACCAATCAGGCAATGTTACAACACTGGGATATTGAGATTGGCACATGCATCCACATGAGGAAAACGCAGCACCAAACCTAGTAAGTGTTACTCTCAGCAGGAAAAAATAACGTTGCCTTTGCACTGAAGAAACACAGTACTTGTTCCTCCCGTGGGGCTAGCTAAATAGGCGACAGCGAGAAGAGCTCTTTGCTGCTCCATGCCACGCAGTGTGGCCATGCCATGGGTACCCAAGTACGTGTGCCTGTTGCATCCAGCTGCTCTGGGCACCTCTGTGCTCTCCCTGCATTTGTTTGCTGCTCTCCTCATCCAAGACCCTTCCAAGAGAGAGTAAAGGAATAATGGAGTACAACTAGGCTTCCCGGCATGGAATTAATCTGTTATTTAAAAAACAACTCCTGAAGGGTAATCAATAAACACCACGCATATCCCCAGAAGGCTAATTAAAAAGTAATTCCAACAAATGGTATGAAATTTCAGACTGTAAAGTTCCAACAGCCATTAGGCTACATCTTTTGCGTAAGGTCACTTTGAACTGTGCAGTAAATGCAAGCAATTAACCTCTGCTTCTGCTGCTTTAAAAATTACAGTGACAACGTTACAGCACTGTGTTTGCAGCAGGTCAAGTGCTCAGCAAACAAATCCCCCCTCCCCACTGCATATTCTGAACAAGGAAAGGTCACGTTTGTACCCTTTGATCTGCTTGAAAAAAAGAAAAGATTCTATTTAAAAATATCTGCCTTTTCAGTTCTGTATGGAGAAATAATTGCTTAACGGACTGTTTGAGTGTCAAAATCCAACTGCTTATAATAAGGTAGTATCAGATTCAGCAATTCCTTTGCTTGAGCTAATGACTTATACTGTAAATAGGTGTGCATGTACTTAACCTCTCATAGGAGTAGTGTCCTTGGAGCCAACTGGCTTATTTACATTTATAAAGTCAAGAGTCTAAGTAATTCTGTGCAGGATCAGAACCAAAATCAGTCTGAAGAAACAGAGTGAGAAGTCATATTACAAAATAAGCATAAACCTTATACACTTAAAGATTTACAACCTTATAGATTTAATATTGATAATCTCATTTTTCAAAGGAAAAGCCACTAAATAGTAATAATAGTAATAATAATATCCACTAAATATTTAGTAATAATAATTGCTAGTAATAATTATTTTAGTAATAACAATTACTAAATATTTATAGTAATTATCATAAATATTTTCTGATGTACTTTAGTCTAATTTCTAATGAACCTAAAGGAATTCAGTGCAATTCTACTCAGAAATCCATTCAACTGCCAGTGGTTTCAACATATTCATGATTTAGAAAGGAAAGGAGCAGAGGAAATTATTTCATGACTAGAAACAGTTCTTTTGCCTGACATGAATTTGTACAGTGTGTCCTCAGCTATTAAAAAAAAAAAAAGAAAGGAAAGGAAAGGAAAAGGACAGGAAGAGAGAAAGAAAAAGGTTGTGTGATTGAATCATAGGGCTTTTCCACCTGGGCTTGCCTGGTATGTCACATGCAGTTCCTTTACAGTTATTCTTTGATTGGGTAGGGAATTTTTGTGTTTTTGTTTTTCCTGTGTAAAGCAAAGAGTTCACTCACATGTGCTCACAATTTATGTCTGTTCAAAGTTAAAACTGGTATGTCTACATGACACTATATAGGAACCATATGGATGTACCTTCAGCACTAATCGAATGTGAAAGTGGTTTTGTGCTGCAAAATATGCCTGCTGGGTGATTTCAGCTCAGTTGTGATTCATTATAGGTTGGCTATCAGGCATTGCCAGAATTCTAGGTATTTTATTCTGGAAAATAAATATCTGGTGGCTGTATATGTTTTTCAGATCAATGATCTCCTTATCAGTCAGAACTTTCAACTTGGCCTTTATTCTTGGTAAAACCTTAAACAAAACCAGTTTTATAATCATCTTACCCTTGGGAAAAAAACAAAGTTAATGTTACTACATTCCACTTTTACATTGACATCAACCTTGGATCTGAACCGTTTTGATTAAAATAAGAAGAAAAAGTTGCTTTTATGGCAAAAGTGGGTTATATTGGCAATATGATACTGAAAGCAGGGGACATGAGTTAATAAGTGCTTGATCTCATGTGTGAATGATAAAATTCAGTTTTAATTGATTAGGTGGGTTGAAGTCCTGCAGCAAAGGTGAACATCCTTTGTATAGTGGCAGGATCATGTAATGGTATCTAGTTTTCAATGCTGTCACTAAACAACAGCCAGCTATGAGATGTGCCCCTCCTGCTACCTTCCCTTTAGTTCTCTGGGAAAGTGTCATAGGATCATAGACTCCTTAAGGTTGGACGGGACCTCTGGAGATCATCTAGTCCAACCCCTCTGCTCACGCAGGGTCACCCAGAGCATGTGACACAGGGCTGCATCCAAGTGGGTTTTGAAGATCTCCAGAGAAGGAGACTCCACAACCTCTCTGGGCAGCCTGTTCCAGGGCTCTGTCATCCTCACTGTCAAGAAGTGTTTCCTCAAGTTTCTGTGGAACTTTTGGGGCGTCAGCTTGTGGCCGTTTCCTCTAGTCCTGTCGCTGGCCACCACTGAAAAGAGGCCACCCCCTCCTCCTCACTGCCTCCCTTGAGGTATTTATAGACACTGATCAGACTTCTTCGTTCAGGGCCTCCTGCTCACCCTGGTGCCACCAGGACCCCCGGGGCCTTCTCTGCCCAGCTGCTCTGCAGCCACTTGGTCCCAGCCCAGCCTGGTGCCCGGGACTGCTTGTTCCTTCCCAGGGCCAGGCTGGGCCCTGCCCTGCCTTCAGCCTCACGAGGGTCAGCATTGCCTCTCGTTGTCATGAAGGTGATGGAAAAAAAACAGAAATAGCCTTCAGGGTGACTTCGAAAAAAGCCCGTCACAAACGTGTGACAATAAAAATAAGCTCCCATTTCTTTTGTTGCTCACATTTCTTGACAGAGAGTTTTATGCAGGCAGGTGGATGGATGCTGCCTCCTTGCAGCTCCCTGTTTCACAGCAAATATCTTGCAAATATCTTGGCAAAAACAAATCCCCTTTTATGCAAACAGATTCACTAATAAATATTCCCAGTGGTCTCCACGTGATTCACAATGGACATTCTGAATATTTAGAGGCATTAAGAGAAAAAAAATGGAATCAGGGAAAGACCAACTCCCTTTCCTCAGTCCTGGCAGTTAGTGAGAGCCAGCGGGCGGCAGCTCAGCTGACACCGGCACAGAAGGAAAAATGAAACACAAACAATTTGAGGCAGAAAACGTTTTGTGGCTGATTAAAGGAGAGGATGGTCCCTGCACAGGTGGATTGCTGCCACCGACAGTGCTCCGAATCGATATCCTCTAAGCTGGTGTGGAATTAATTAGGTAAAGTCCCCAGCACTTACCTTGTGCTGCGCTGTTACCTGGAGGAGCCTTGGCATGAATTAGCACTGGATTATCACAGGAACTTGGGCTGCGAAATGATCTGCCTAGTGAGAGCCTGCCAAGTAATTCACAGGAGACAGCAAACAAAGTGCCATTTTGGTAATTTTAAGTAGGTCTGGGGGGGGAAAAAAAAAGAGTTAGCTTGAACAGTATAGTTAAGAGGCCGAATGATGACCTGCCTGAACATTTTGTGGATGTTATTTTAAGCAGCGGGGGTATGGGGACACACTGTGCAAATTGGTTCAGATGTTTTCCTGCTCCTCAAGTAATTTAGAAAGGGAGGGTTTGAGGTTTTATGCTAAGAGATAAGATTGCCCTGGAAAAGGTTTGGTTTGGAGCATCAGGGAAAGATTGCCTCAATCTCAGAGCAGGGATGGGTGCATTGCATGTGCAGAGGCTGGAAAAATGCCACCAGATGTCTCTGCAGCCTAAAAAATGTAGGGAAGACACTGGGCACACAAGCAGCACTGAGAACTGCCTTTGCTCCTCTTTAAGAGGAAAACCAGCAAAAGCGAGAGGAGGGACAACCCACAACCAAAATCATGAACTGTCTCTCCTTCCCCAGGGCAAAGGTTTGAGATCCCCATGTGGTCACTACTGGTTTCTCCCCAGCGGACAGAGTCAGATTAGGCCACAAATTAACTTTTCCTGCTGCTTTGGAGAAATGTGTGGTTCACGTGGCCTCATGGACAACACTTTGGACTACACAGAGCATGAGCCCTTCTGACCTGCTTGTCTCACAGTCCTTGGCAGGCCTAGTTATAGGCACCTTATATATAGGTTAACTGAGCACCTTAAGATGATTAGAGGCAATTAGCTATCCTGTATCTCAACACCCTCTTAAAATAGAGAAGCCAAACCATTAAGCAAGAATCTCCCTGGAAATGTGCGTATTATGGGGCATAAGTTGCATGGATTTAGCTTTTTTTTCTCCCTTACATTGAGAGTGGAGCTTGCAACTGCATAAGTAAATCATAGAATCATAGAATGCCGAAGGTTGGAAGGGACCTCAGAGGTCATCGAGTCCAACCCTCCCTGCTCACACAGGGTCACCTAGAGCACGTGGCACAGGGCTACATCCAAGCGGGTTTTAAAGATCTCCAAAGAAGGAGACTCCACAACCTCTCTGGGCAGCCTGTTCCAGTGCTTTGTCACCCNGTTCCAGTGCTTTGTCACCCTCACAGTGAAGAAATGCTTCCTTAAGTTCCTGTGGAACTTCCGATGCTTCAGTTTGAAGCCATTTCCTCTAGTCCCATCGCTGGCCACCACTGAAAAGAGGCCGGCCTCCTCCTCCTCACTGCCTCCCTTGAGGTATTTATAGACACTGATCAGGTTCCCCCTCAGCCTCCTCTTCCCCAGGCTGAACAGACCCAGCTCTCTCAGCCTTTGCTCATATGGCAGATGTTCCAGGCCCCTGATCATCCTCGTAGCCCTTAAGATCAAAATGTTTTCTGATTTCCAGGTCTCTGGCACAGGATAATAACATGGTTTGCCAGCACTTAAGAAAGCAATTGTTATTATTATTATTTTTCCAGTGGAATTTTGAGTCTCATTTTCTTGGGATAGATCAGGCCTGCAATCTGCGTTTTAGGGCAAAGTTAAGAGCAGCCAGACTGGTTCTCTTCAGTGCCCTGTGAGCAGCTTTGCAAGGAAGGGGATGGCAAAGGAGAGTTTCAAAGTTAGATCTGAGGGAGGCCAACTCTATTCATTTAGCTGCTGTTGACTCACCTGTAACCAGACCTGAATCTACCGTATTTGAATTCCTCTGCCTACCTCTCTGATATCATGCTTGGCCTTAAAATATCTAATCCCTGTAGCAAAATGAAGACCCTACAGGAGGAAAACCACTATATCTCTTGTTTCTGGATTGTGTATAATAAGGAAGAGAAGCTGGGGTGAAGAGGAATTAAGAGGAAGTAGGTGCTTTCTTCCCTACTGCTGTGTAAAGTGTGGAAAGCCCCAGGGAATTACTGCTCCATGCTTCAGTTGATGGACTAAAAAAGCCTTTCTGAGAAAGATTCTTCACAGTGATGAAAATCTTGTGGTTCAGTCTGATTCTCTTGTTCCTGAAAGGTTCCCAGCTTGCAGCTTATTTTACGCTGCTTTGGGACTGCAAAGGTAGCAAGGCGTGAAGGAACATAAGGCCCTTATTTCTCTCTGGCTTCCTAAGCATGCTTTCCTCATGCAAACCCACAAAAGGGAAACCAGGTCCTCCTAGACTTAATGTGAGAGAATGTTAATTTTAATAACTTAGAGTATGTTATACTCTGATGCAGTAGCTATATGGATACAAAATAAGCAACAACACGAAAACCCCAAAATATATCTATTAAAAAGCCCTGGCTTGCCTTTGTTATAAGTTTGGCTGAAAAGCTTGTCCTTGGACTGCATGGTCCAGCTCTGGCTCTGCTGGTCTGTAGAAAGATTGAATTCATTACTCAGAAGCTTTCATGGAGGGCATGCTGCCTTCAATCCCATGGAGCAACACTGATGAATAAGAATGGACATGGGCTAATTCAAACCTTTCTACCATCTTTCAAACCAAGTTAGTGATATGGCTCTTTTTTGCAGTGCCCAGCCAATTGTCATTTGCAATGCATCCTACCGCCCCGCAGCACAAACTGCCCTGGGAATATGCTACATTTCTCCAGGATCTGCTCAGCAATGCCAAGGAATGTAGCTGCTCTGGTTGCAATTAAGAAATTCAACACACAAGTGCTCCCAAAGTGCACCAAAACCTGCTTGTGACCTTCATGCAGCTCAGTCTGAAGGAATCGGAGCCATTTTTGCTCAGTGGTTCCAATAGTCAAAGGGAGGCAGAAAAATAACCATTCCTCAAGAGATGTGCTGTGGTTTCAGGGACCAGCTTCACAAGAGCTGGCACAGGGAAGTACAAATTCCCACAAGGACCTTTGGGCTGTGAGGTCGTTGGAAGGACTTTAGGACAATAAAGAGATTAACCTTTGGAGCCCAAACTGCTGCACCTTGGTGCATGTGCAGGTGTGGAGAGGTTTGATTTCCACCAAGGCCTCACAGAAAGGGCATGGGAGGCTACGAGGGAGCCTGGCCACTCACTGCCACCCTACCAGGTGCAGCTGGGGCTGCCACGGAGCAGCGAGAGAGCCTGATCCATCCCGGGTACTGTCTGTCTGTGTTTGCTCTGGAGAGCAAGCCCCTGCCACCTCACATTGCATCTTTACCAAGTACAGCAACCCTGTGTCCAGCTGAGGTGGGTTAAGAAGCCTCGTAGGATAATCCTGTAAGTGCATGTATGCATTTTTAAACCGAGAGGGTATTTAAGCAAAAAAAAAAAAAAAAAAAAAAAAAAAAAAAAAAGTAAATTATCTTGGCTGTGAGCATGAAAGCATTAGAAGCTTTTTTTTTTTTTTTTTCCTCTCCCCCTCCCAACTCCTCCTCTTTTCAGCCTCAAGCTGAGTTTAAAACCCTCTCCCCTAAACCTCAGGAGGACATCCTTGCTGCAGCCAAGAAATGTATTTGTGCTTTCCAGATGGCTGAACACGGTGAAGGAAGAGCGTGGAAAGTCCTGGATTTGGACGCTCCTTACGCGGACGAGCTCGGTGACTCCCTGGAGCTCGCCAACGACACGCTCTTCTCCCTGAGGATCAGGAATGCTTCGAGCCGCAGCAGCGGGACGTACAGGTGCACTGTGCGGGAGCCAAGCGGAGCACGCAATCTCAGTGGCACAGTCACGTTGAGAGTATCAGGTAGAGCAGAGACTCTCAGATCCTCGTTGCTTTGCATGGCATTTTGGGAAGCAAGCAGCTTTGAAATATTTTACAAATGCCAGAACAAGTGTAACACCTTTCTCTGTGTTTTAGGTTGCCCTGGAATACTAGGAGATGAGAAACTGAAAAAATACAAAACAGAGCTTTTGATGCTGACTTGCCTTGGGATTTTTTACTTACTGCTCATCTTTTTCACATGTGTAAGTAATTTATTTTCTCACAAACAAACAAACCAACAACAAAAAAATTGTTTTGTCTGCCAGTACCACCTTAACAAAACCGCTCAGAAATTGGTTTTCATATTTAATTTATGACCAAACATTCCCATACAGTGTTTTAAAAGCTAAAAGGAAACTCAGGTGCACAAGGAGCACAGGATGGAGTCCCAAAGAGATAAAACATCTTGCTAAACCTGAGCTAACTGAGAACAGACTGTTATTTTCCCTCTTCCCACTGCTCATTTCTGCTTCTATTTACTCCAAATGTAAATTCAGTTTAAGAGCATAGCAGCAGCTCCTAGGATTTCATTACTGGCAGCATTTGTCTGAGAAAGGCACTAGCTTGTGGGATCCCTGCTTCATTTATGACATTGCTTTGTGTGACAGTACAGTGCACAAATTCAAGTCCGCCTATTTTTTGCCTCCATTTCCTTACCTGTAAGATGGAGACAATTCCACCTTGGATGTGCTTTCTTTTGGCTACATTCACATTAAACAGATATGTAAAGATTCTTGGAAGAGAAATAATTTGCACCTCAAAAAGAACATTATAAGCAAAGGCAGTGCTAAGAATTTGGCAAGGCTAGTTACTCCTTTCTTTGAGTCAGCTTTGCAAGGACAGTGAACAGAAAAGAACAAGCACACAAACACCCCAGGAATGCAACAGCAATGTCAGTCCCTTCTCACAGGAGTTTTAGCTCTACGGTCTATTCTGGTAGTGTTAGGAAAGATGGGGAGGTATCTGAGGAACTTTGGCAGCAGAAGGGAAGCGGTAAACGACATTAGTGAAGCTACCCGCTCAAGCAGGAAAACCAAGATACTTTATCATGCCCTTGAGGTAATATGAGCCTTGGGGCTGCAATACAGTGCAATTCCAGCTGTATTTCCAACGTGTTGTTTTGTTCCTTCCTCCCTGTTCCTTTGGGATTGCTAAGAGGCAGAGCTACAGGTAGGCTTTATTAAAAACCAAACAAAAACAACCCCAAAGTGCTGGCTGGTCATTTTAAATCTTTTGCTGCCTTATATTGGCCTTATTGTTTTGATCATCAGCACATGAATCACAACTGTTGATTTGAGAATATCTAATTAGCTGCAGCTAAATGTATCTTTTCATGTATCTTCAGGGAGCAATTAAATTTATGCCTGTCTCTTTTTTAGATTGACAATTCTGCCAGTAATTTGTGCTGTTCAGACTAAAGTTTGACAAGATAAATCTTGTAGGAATTTGTTAGGATGAAAGTACGAAAGCAAGGATATCAGTCAAAGATAGATACCCCATTCTGCTCAGTGTGTCCTGAAAGAATCCCAGATCTCTAAAGAAATCTCTGCTTCTCATACATATAAAAAAGGTCTAGTTTTAGTTGTGTGGTTAAAAAAAGTTAAACCGTATACTGTAGAGAACCTAATTAAACAGAATTATATTTTCCTTACTCTTGGGTGAGAGTCCCGTCTCGGATATGAACGTAGCTTTCAGCAGAATTTAATATTGCCCTGATCTCACAAAGGAACCTTTTTACTTGACATGTCTGTTAAGTTCTAACCAGTCTCCTTGTCCTCTGTGTGCCTAATCCCCACTGAACTCAACACTGACATTGAGTTTAAGACTGGTGGCAGGACTGGGGCTTTGCTTTGACAACTTGATGACAGTATTTCAGACACTGGTTTGTACTGAAGGCAAGTGGAAGCAGACTTGCAAGAGGTTGATGCAAAGCCTGGTTATATGAAAAATTAATTATAAGTTTCCTTTTGTGGATTTTTTTTTATCCTGTAAAGCTCCTGCAATGTGCAAGAAATTGCAGCTTTTCCATTCGTTTTTCACTGGAAGCACCCAGTAATGGAAAAGACGTTGTAACTATGTTTAGGAAAAAGAAAATTAAAACTCTGTAGCTTTTAAAAATCACTTTTCAAAGCATCTCTTAATTTGAAAACTTCTATTCTGTTTTTTTCTTCCAGACATGTCTAAGAAAAGATAGTATGTCTCCCAATTATCATAAAAACAGAACGGATGTGAAACACATGCTCACCCTCATCAGTGCACGTGAGACGACAACTTTCCAGGATTTAAACAGTGACAGCACGTACAAGAATCAGCTTACTTCCATTTCGGTCTAAGCTGATGTCGTTGACGGCACTGGGGGCTCATCAGTAACCAAGACGGAGAGCTGAGTGGTATGGAGAGGAAATAAATGCTAATATATTGCCTCTTCAGGACAGCCTGATGGTATGGGCAATCTGTCAGTGATCTGCCTGAGCTGGACAAGTCTTCCAAAAGCTTTGGTGTGCACTACAGCAGCTCCCAGGTGTTCGATGGAGTGGAGACCACTGCAGCTATGCAGCCACATCACAGTGCTGTTACGAAGACGGAATCAACTTCATTTCACGTCTCTTGTTCTGAATGAGACTGGCTACTCCTGTGATGCAAAGGTCAGGTTACAGGGAGGCCACGACAGCGTAAAGACAAGGGATTAAGTTCCTCACTGAACTAATAGCTCTCATCTTTAGGAAAAAAAAAAAAAAAAGTAAGAAGGGAATAAAAGATATTCTGAAGCTCTTGCTGAACTGAATGGAACTTTTCATCTCTTCAGGAGAGGTAGCAATGGATTTCCACAATGGATCCATCAGTTATTTCCAAAGGCAGGAAATCTCTAAATAGGTCAATGGATAGGAAGCGGCAACAAAGTTGTTAACCTTAAGTCAACAGCAAAAGACTAAGAATGTGTTGCTAAGGACATGGAATTTTTTTTTTTTTTTTTTTTTTTTATGAACTATAAAACACAATGTATGTAATGCCTATATTAGTGCAGTTACACTAGAAATCAGCAAGGTCATGGCTTATAGGAAATCAACCATATGTATCTTAGGGAAATAGGAGATACAGCAACAGAAGATGAGGTGAGTGTGCATTTGCTTCTGGTGTTGACAGTGTACAGTCTATGTAAAATGAGGATAAGAATAAAAGCTAAACTGAAGCAAAAGGTACAAGGGAGGGAAGGCTTGTCCTCTTGGATCAAAGAGAGCAAGAGTCTGGAGCCTAAACACCAAGCCATTTCCCTTGCCAGGTTGCTGGTGCAGAAGTTGAAGCAAGAGGAGCCCAGAGTGATTGTGGATGTTTGTGCTGAGGACGGAGTAGCAGCATGAAAGGGTGCAATCACCTAAGAATACAGATGACGACTTTTTTCTTAAAAATAAAAAATAAAAAGAAGGAAGAAGAAATGAAATCCTTCAAAAGCTAAAGTGAGGCATGGGATTTTCCATGCAGTCTGGAATTCCCAGCCGTGTGAAGGAGGCTCTGTCCTCAATCCTTTAACTAATTTTGAAGTGCCAGTGGAGGAAAGGACCGTGCGTCAGTCAACAGGGCCTCTGCGAGCAAAACTGATGTCTACGCTGCTAGACTTCCAAAGGGCTGCTGTCCATATAAGACATATATGATATGTAACTTACTGAGGGCATGGTAGATTAAGGTCACATATGTTTTTTTATCCATGTAACATAATGGAAATAAAAATTCAGAGCTAATCTACCAGTAGTTTTTCCTATGTGCCACATATGACAAAATAAAATTTGAAATACTCCGTATTATTTGTGGATTATTTTACAACTAATATAGCTACATTATATAATGTAGAAGTCTGATCAAGTCTTTTCTGTGGGAGAGGACATAGAGGTACATATGCGTAACTGAGGAATGCATAATTTTATATATTACTAAAGAACTAAGAACATTTAACATTTTTTTTTTCCTCTCAGTGCTTTATCCTAAGCTCAAAGGACAGTTTAAGAGGTCTATTCCATACTGGGAAGTCAATGGAAATAGTAATGTTTGTTCTATCTGGTGCATCACCATGGATGAGTCATGTGTTTAGCCGGCAGGAACATGAACTAAATGTGCACATGCAGTAGCCATAACTGAGGTACTTTGAGTAAGATGAAGAGAGAAAGGGAAAATTCATTAGAAAGGGAGTGATAATTAATCATCAACAAAGGCTGAAACACATTCTAGATTATTTTGTCAGATGTACAAATAAGATCAGACCAGAAAGGATGGGATGAAAAAAAAGAGATTTTTCCAGATTGTCTCTCCATACAGAAGGTCGGCCTGAGACAGCAACACTAGGAGTCAAATTTCAATGTCAGATATTTCAGTCTTGTTGATTCCGGAGTTCTGTTTTAGACCCACTGTGCTGTAAGTGATTATGTTCAAGGCCACTTAAGTACATTAAGGAGTTGAGCTGTACTAAGCAGTAAGAAAACCTTATGCTGAGATGCTTGACCAACTCAAGAGCTGTTAAGAAACAGGCAATTTCATAGTGATGAAGGTAGCTACGCACCTAAGATTTCAAGAATGCAAACAAACTACCATATCACTGTAGGACAATAGTTAAGATTAACTAAAAATACTGTAAATGAGAACATGACAACTGAAAGAAAAGACTTAATATGTTAGAAGGACTTGAGCACTTCTGCCACGCCAAAAAAGTCTCAGATTTAAGATCCTACAGAAGAAGAGAGACATTTTTTCAGTAAAATGTCTTAGAAGAGATGCTGTTCTTTCTTTTCCCATTAATATGGACCTGTAGATCTAAATTGTGTATTTTAAAATTATTGCCCCAGCTAACCTGATGCACACATGGTAGAGCACATGCACCTTTTCTTAAGAATTCAGCGCTTCAATATTGGAGCGTATTTGTGTATTGCACAATCTAGAAGCTGTTTTAACTACACAGAATATATGGGACAGAAGCAAATTGAATTTTTTTTTTCACTACCACTCTTCTTAATATTGATTCCTGTAGTTCTGCAAGATATTACAATTGCATATGTATGTATTATAAAGTACAACTGCATTTTATAGTGCTTTCTCCTGGAACATCTTGAAGTGCTTTACAGTCAGGAATGCAGTTACTCTCAATGATCCCTGAGGTGGGAAATATCATAGATTTTATTTAGAAGATATAGATTAAGACAACCAGTAACCACAAAGCCCTCTGACAAAGGCTGGGTCAGAGCTAGAGAGATCACAGATTTCCTGGCTCTCCTACAGATGCTTTAACCTCAGAAACTTTTTTGTTAATATTTGCTACTTTTGTAACTTTTTTGATGGCATTTTTCCCCTGTAACCTGCATTTCTCTATTTTTATTCAAAAGCAATCCAAGAAGTACATAAAATTACATATACAGTTTGCATTTGCACACATTTCATTAAGGAACACACAGAGAGAAACAGTGTACCACAGCGGGAGATTACCCCCAAAGAGAAATCACACAGTAGTTGCACACTGCAGCTAAATGAATATCCAAAATGGCAATAAGGGAAAGCTAAAAGGCATAATCCACGAAATGCTGAGTGTATGAATTATAGCTCTTAGCTAAGCCTGATTTGTGTGACCAGCACTTACCCAGCAGATAACCCAGGCTGGCTGCAACCTTGACAGCACTGCTATTTTGTGTTAATGGCTGAGCAGTTCTCAACCTATTTCTCCTGGAAAGAGGAGCCACAAGTATGCTTATTTTCATAAAAAAAAAAAAAAAAAAAAAAGGATCATTCTTTGGTATATGCTTGAGAAAGCTACAGAATGTATGACTCCCTATGTGATGGCTGTCTTCTTTCCTTCCTCCTCCTACTGTTGATAACGCAAGATTGTTCTGAAGGGCATCAAGAACATTTCTTTGGTGCATGGGTTCCCTTACTCTCCCCTCTGGGTGTGAGGAGGGCAGTAGTGACTTGCAGATGGCATCTTGTCCACTGAGCAATTGCAAGTATTTAGTCACCTTCTCAACCGGTAAGTCTGTCCTTTGGAAACCAAAATTCATTTTCCTCATCTCTGTGTGTGAAGACAACAACTTGACATAAGTTGTACACATTGTTAGCAGCTACATATTTAAAAGTATATTGGAAATACTTCTCATCTTTTTAAGCAAATATCAGAAAAAAATTAACTCTTAATCATTTTTGGAACAGACTGCTGAGGAGGTTAAAGACCTACAAATAAACACAATATCAACTTTTTCTGTTTTACAATCTGTTCGTTCTTTATTTGCCTGCCAAGACCTATGTTTGCACTTCTCTGCTTTTTGCTGACTGCAGTTGATATTGCTTCTACATAACACTGTGGAAAGACTGCACTTAATTCTCTGGAGCGATCACGTAAATTCTGAAAAATCCACCAAGGGAAGGGGTGGTGGTGAGACTGACATGGATTGCGGCAAGGAGTGGTGAGTCCTTTTAGGACTTACTAAGCTCAAGGCGTACAAGTCTTCCCACCATTTCATGGAAAAGCTTACCACGTCCCAGCAGATAACTTATTACACTGCAAATAGGCTGTCTGGGCTAATTTTTAAAGTTTATTCTGTTACAAGTTTTCCACATTGGCTGATGACAGACATTGCAGCCAACGCTGAAAACCTCAGGGACAGATTGAAGTCAAGGCGTAATGATGACAAGAAAAGACAGGTCGTAAGGAAAGAGCACACTACACAATCCCAGCAAAAACATTGACTTTTCTCTCTTCAAATTCTTGTTATTTCTTTTGTGAAGGGAATAAAATCTTTTTTTTTTTTTTCAATATTTGCCTGAGCTACGTGAGAGGCAAGGATACTGGCAATATTTATACCATGATGCCTACATGAAGCTGAATGAAAGTTTATAATCAAGTTGTCTTTCAGGTGAGAAAACAGGAGGTTTCAACTGTAGACATTAATATTAAAGATGGCAGGGGTGGGGAGTGGACGGAAAGTCCTTGCAATCAGAGAAACTGGCTTAATAAAGCCTGGTAGGAAGAGAGAGAGGGGAGTTTCTGTCAATGCTAGGGATCTAGAGCAAGCACCTGCAACACAAATGTGTGGCAGTTTTCATCTGCTCCTCCCTGCTATTTTCATCCCAGGTGAATTCCAGCTAGTGCAAATTCACTCTCACTTCTCAGACTTGGCATCAGCACTGATTTAATCACATTCCTTTATGTGATGAGCTGGAAGTAGAGAGTTGTATGTGAGCTAGGACAAACCAACCCCTTTTCCATCAGCACCAGCTAGTCCCCCACTCCTGTGATGTGGTCTGCTGCTGTCTAGCAGGGCAGCCAAGCCCATGGGGCTATGTCTCATGTACCTCACACAGGTGGCATGCTGCCTACAATGCTGCTCAAATAACCTTACAGGT